CACGAACTTCAGTAAGAACTTCAGGGTGATATATTGAATGGGAGGAATAAAACAAATGTTTCTTTTACATTGTGAGCATCATGATCATTGTGACATCCATGGTACTAAGTTATTACTGTCCTGGCTTAACGCCCAACTATCTTTTGGGTATCAAGGACTTGCAATACTTTTTTTCATATTATTTTATATTAAAAAGCTGTGGGTTATGCCAGGATTTGAACTGCTAATGTGGCAAATACGAGAAGATGCCCTAACCACTTGGATCATTATTTTCACAAACACCTTGGATCAAGATATGGTCTTGAAGAAAAAAGCAAATTCAGTTGTTACTGCCAAGCTTTCGACCTATTTAAGGTCATCATCAGCTAACAATAGGTTGAAAGCTTGGCAGAAACAACTGAATTTGCTTATTTCTTCAAGACCATACCTTGATCCAGAGTATACATGTGTGAAAAAGTGGTCGATACTTTCAACACTAATAACATTTTTGGTACAATTCAATGTAGAGAGGTTGAGATAAAAAAATTAGTGACACAAACCCACGATCCGGAGGTATAATAATCAAAAGAATAATTATTTTGATGTCTATCAACCAATAATAAAGGTATTTTTATTACTGATTGTTGGAAGGTTTCCTGGTAAAATGGATTCTGCAGCTATATACTTGTATTTATTTAATTTTGAAGCAATTTGTCACAGATTTAAAACAAGTTGTTTTTCTTTAGAAATTGATTAACAAAATGTGTACTTATTTGGTTCTAAGTTAACTGTATTATATTAGTTGAAAACATAAAAGGTAAAAATTTATAAATTCCATAATAGGTCAAGACATATCATTCACAAGGGGAGGCCATTGATCTGGGTTAAATAATTTTAATGTAACTCTTTTGGTGATGCTAAGTCATAAAACATTAGACTCGTGTTCAAGCATTGGAAGCAGCAAAAAAAATAGACGGATCATATTAGAGATTAGATAGGTATATACAAAGTTACAACAACCACTACATTTCCAGTAAAGTAGACCAAAAAAATATTTTCCTTAAAAAACAATTCAGTTTCATTTCAAGCCACTTTTAAAGCCCTTGAAAACAATTTTTTATGGCAAAAAAAAAATTTGGGGGCTTGATCAGCTGGGAATTTTTTTATGATATTCTAAACTGAATTTTATCAAAATTCAACATTATTAAAACCACTAGATTTTGTGGTCCGATTGACCAAATAACCTCTTTCAATCAATTAATCTTCATGTAAGGTATTGGTTGAGATAAAAAAGTCAGTGTCGCGAGCGGGATTCGAACCCACGACTTTCGGCTAGACACACCGCTGCCCTACCACTTGAGCTATCATGACATCGATCCACTCGGACACCAACTTCCCATCTCAATCCACCTTTTGAATTTTCCCTCCTTTTTGCCATTCTTCAAATGTCGTGTAATCTATTCGATTCTCGGCGACAAAGAAATAGCCACAGAGAGTTTTAGTGAAGATATATTTCATTTTGCTTATTAAATCCATTAGATTTCGTGGTCCTATTGACCAAATAACCTCTTTCAATTAATTAATCTTTATGTAAGGTATTAACCAAAATTAAAACCATTGGAAAGCTGAAAATCTCCACTTTTAGTCTATGTCAACAGAGTTCAGATTTTGTGTCATATAAGTGAGAAAAGTAATGATGAAAACAAAAACTCTTTAAAATGTTTTATTTTCTATCTCCAGCTCTAATTTATTTACAGAGGCCAAGTTTATGCCATTACGTGTAGTTTATAGTGTTCTGTAACCTTGTAAAGTTTATTGTATATCGGTGGAGTTCTTTTAATGTGATCTTTTGTGTGAAATAATTTATTAACAACAGATATTTTCAAGTACAAATTGGATCATCCTCCGTCTACATCCTCTATGGCAAGTGTCCTGCAAGGCATCATCTTTGGTCCCATTCTCTTTTCTGTATACACTACTGACTATTGATCCTATTGATCCTAATACGCTAGCTCCTCTTCACATATACAGATCATACCACCATGATTTCAGCGATCCAAGACCCAGTTGATGGAATGGTTCAAGAAAAATCCTTTACTTTCTGTCGTAACTTCTCAAATATATTAACTCTGTTTCTTTCTTGGCAACTCTCCTCTACTTGGGACTTTTTGGCCAATTTTTCTATCAACTGATGACTGGTGTTCCACTTCAATTTGTAACTCCTCTGGATTTTATCAATGTTCGGGTATTAAAACTATTAAAACCGAATGTTTGACCTACGTCAACAAGGTTCAGATTGTATATCATTACTATTAAGAAAAATGAGTTGTTTTTTTTAATCTCCAGTTGTAAGCAGGCAAAGCTTAGGCCATTATGTGATGTTTATAAGGTTAAACGTCTATACAGTTTCCTGTGAATCAGCGGAGTTGTTTAAAAGTTATCACCATTTTTGTGATTAAAAAAATTAATTAATTAAAAATAAATTTAAAAAACCATACGTATTTGGAAGGCAAAAATTTTAACAATTTTTTTTTTTTTTTTTACTAAAAATTTGTATTCAGAGATTTTTTTCAGATGCAGAAAACGATCTTGTTTCTTGCAGAAAAAAAATATATTTTAACCTACTTTGCTAAGTTGCTCGGTATTACAATAGATAGCTCAAATTCATTCGCGTGCAGATTGGTTCTTTTGTCATTCTTTTTTGCATAATAGGCTCTTCAAACTTTGTTTTCCTAGTCTCTTGAAAATGTACATCCCACACCCACCTCATCTTGTCAGATAACTGATTTGGCTTTGGTATGGCAGTCGCAATCACTTCAGAATTGCAAAGCATTCATTTCTTTCAAAATTTGAGTGATGAATTGTTAATAAAACCTAGGTTTTTTGAGATACACTGTTTTTTTTTTTGTTTTTTTTTGTTTTTTTTCCAGCAATCAATCAATAATGAACCCTTAAGTTTACGAATAGAAAATAAGAAACTTATATCTTACAAGACCATTGATTGCCTAATTCTATTCTAATCACAAACCTTTGTTATCAACATAAACCACTTATAAAAACTTCATTGTAATAATTTGTTTAAACAAACCCTTGGAAAAGTGTTTTTATATTTGTGTGTTTTATTAATGGTAAATAATGGAAAGAAATCCTTGAAATGTAGGATGTATTCATCTAATTTTAAACCAACTAAACACACTTTTTTAACAAATGTTTCAAGTGCATAATTACAATGTGTCCTAAAATAAAATTTATAATTATCTTTTTCAAACTTACTAACAATTTTTAGCATGCTATTTCATGCATTGATTAATCGAAGGAATACAAAAGCCTTCTCTCCCCACAAACAGCACAAGTGAGTGGCCTTACTCTAATGTACATCGCCATTATAAAACAAACATGAAATGATGTTAACATTTATCTAAAAGATTACAATTAATTAAGCCTTTTAGTTGAGATGAAAAAAAGTTAATGGCACGAGAGGGATTCGAACCCACGACCTTCGCCTAGATACGCCGCTGCTCTACCACCTGAGCTATCGTGACCTCGATCCACTCGGACATCAACTCCCCATCTCAACCCCACCTTATGAGTTTTCCCTCCTTTTGCCATTTTTCAAATGTCATGTAATCAGTTTGGATTCATCTCATTTTCATCTCAACTAAAAGCCTTAATTAATTGTAATGTTTAATTGGTCAAGCGGACCACAAAATTAGTGAATTTAATGAATTAACTGAAGTACTAAAGCTCTCCGTCGCCATTTCAATCGTCGTCGAGAATCCAAACCGATTACACGACATTTGAAAAATGGCAAAAGGAGGGAAAACTCATAAGGTGGGGTTGAGATGGGGAGTTGATGTCCAAGTGGATCGAGGTCACGATAGCTCAGGTGGTAGAGCAGCGGCGTATCTAGCCGAAGGTCGTGGGTTCGAATCCCTCTCGTGCCATTAACTTTTTTTCATCTCAACTAAAAACCTTAATTAATTGTAATGTTTAATTGGTCAAGCGGACCACGAAATTAGTGAATTTATCTAAAAGGGTTAGTTATAAACTTGTATCGAACTTACAATGACTTGTCATGATAAATAGATAAATGTGCTTGAATATTTTTTTAAAATTATTACATCGTCCTTACAATAATAGTAAGTTTGGTCATTTAAAGCACACAGATCAATATTTTTGTTTCCATGGACCAATTCAGAAGCCTTTTGGGCATTACAGTGGTACTTTAAAAAAATTTTTAATTTGGTTTTTGCACTCTTTTTCCTCAAAAAATCCCATTTAAAAAAATATTAATAATAAACAAGGATAATTTCAATCAAAACTAAAGAAAATGCTCAAACGAAAAATAAATCTCGTCCACATCTAAGGTTCACAAACAGTTTAGCTATTCCAGATATGCAACAACAATTTCAGTTAAGACAATGCCATAATGTACTCACAACTAGCTGCTTTGATGTTAACAGATGATGGTAACCTATAGAAATTAATTCTATTTATAAAACTGTCAACAGAATAATTTTAGATCTCTTATCCCGACACGAATGAACACAGAGATGAAAACATTTCCTTTTTATTGATGAAAATATAACTTAATAAATAGTAGAAACACTCCTGGAATCCCAGAATAAATTATTTATTGTTTATTATACTTTTAACATAACTATCTATGAATACAAAAACAAAAAATAGAAATGATGAAGATGGGGTGAGTAGCAGATTCACCCCTGCAAAAGATGGCTCCACTCACAGATCAGTTGTGGACTATCTAGGTTTCAAGCATTGAAGCTCATCATCAGGTTAAAAGAGTTACATATGTCTCTTGATATGAATTGTAAGAGTACTAGTGTAAGACACAATTCATGTCAAGAGATATGCTTGTAACTCCTTCAACCTGATAAGCTTTAATGCTTGAAATCTGTATCATTGTGGGCAATGGGTCTGTGAGTCACCTTTTGCAGGGTGAAACAAAAAATTCCCACCTAAATGTTGAAAAAAAAATTATATTTAAAAATTTAACATACCTCCTCAGTACTTTAATCTCATTCTCCAGAGAATCTTCCTTTCCTTTGAGAGCCTTCTTATCAATCATTTTAACTGCATACATCTCCCCAGGCCTATCTTTCCTCTCTGCCAGTTTAACTTCTGAGAATGCTCCCCTAAAATAAAGCAGATCATTTTATTATTCCAACATTTTTGTAAAAATCTAATAGGAGCAGAGGGACAATAAAAACCAGACACAATAAATTTACATTTATAACAGTAGTATGTGTTTATGTTATTTTGAATATTGTTAGCCAGTCCCCCTCTTAGCATACGATAGGAATAGTTGCTAAAATAAGTTAAAATTAGTTCTAGGAAATGTCAAACATATGTTGTAAATAAAGCCGTAAATCTCCAGCCCACCCAGTAGGGAAAAGATAGATATTTCAAACCTGGAAATCATATAAACATAGATAGTTGAATAGGCTGTCCACTAAATAATGAAAGTGGAAGAGTTATTCAGTATGGGAAGGTTGTCTTACACAGTTCATCCAGCTGTGAGACACCATAAATTAGGGTTCATGTAAGCCGGGTGGTCAACATACATTTTCCCCAGATGTCCATCAGCGTGGGACCAAGAGGTTGCATAATGCAAACTTGCCCAGATTCTATCTGAACCAACAGTTTTGCTTTTCCTTTCCTCCCCTACTATAGTTGGGAAAGGTATCAAAGGGGATGATTTGAAAGCAAAGTCGTCAACTCAAGGACAGTCACACGATGTCTAATGTCCAGGGCCAAGACTAGCCGAATAGTCAACTGTCCAAGAACAGCCCGATGTAGGATGAGTCGACTGTCAAGTGTCTCAGAAGCAGAGAACAAGAAGATGGAATCGGTCGGCCAGAGCCAAGGACTCAATGAGAGCACTCAGTCAACAGCAGTCACAGTCAAGTTGAGGACTCAGTCAACTTGATGACTCATTCCAGTTGTCGAGGACACAGTCAGAGCACTCAGGCAACCACACTCCAACTGGGACTCAGTGAGAGGACTCAGCCAGCAAGGACCAGCCACTGATAACTGTCGACCCGGGAAGCTGCAGGAAGATAGCCTGGAAGACGCTTAATGATGTGGAAGCTGGTGTATTGGCGAGCATTTTATGAGGTAAGTTCTCTTGTGAATCAGCTCATCCCAGAGTTAGAATTGTGGATAACTTGCTTTGATTGTATGACTTTTTTGTCGGTTTGTAACCATATCAAGATGGGGGCCAGTGTAACAATAAATGTTTATGAATATATCTTTCTGGTTTATTGTATTTTTGGAACACTACCTTCCCCTACACAAAAAGTAGTTAAGCGCAGATGTTGAATGTTCTTTTATCACTTATCGCTATGCCCATAGAGCATAACCACCAGCTTACAATATAATAACCAACCAGTTTTACTTTATTTTTTTATTATAACAGAAAAGAACAACAAACAAATTGTTTTAGTGCCATGCTTTTGGTGATTATATCACCATTATAGGGTTTATCAAAACTATAATTAATACATTAACTTTATCATTAGGTTCAAATTGAAAAATAATTACTTTGAACTGGAATTCAGACACCTGGGTTGAAGAGAAGAAACAATGTTCTTATAAACTTTTTTCCAATATTCCACTTTATTGCCTGTGAATGTACTACCAGAGAAAAAAGAGATTTCATGAAGGAAATTAATAACTGTCAGATGCCATAAATTGTACATATTGTACATAATGGAGTTTGTAAAACTTAAATTCGATCTTTCTGGTTTGCCAAGCACTTTTCAGAATTTTGCCATCTTCAATGGTGGGTTTGTTTGCTTGTTATTTTATTTGCTCTTCCCTCATAATACCAGACAGTGTGACATGCTACTCCAATCTTCTATCAGGCGCTCAAACATTTTACTGGCAGAACATAGCAAGCTTAAGGGGCTGTAGCTAGTAGGCTTATCATGCGGTTTGCCCAGCTTTTTAATAAATATAAGCTTAACAACTTTATATTTATTTGCAGAGTCCTAGTACTAACATTCCACTGAACAAGAACATTAACAATGGCTTTTCTCAGGAGGTTTTTTAGGATTAGGTTGGAGATTCCATCCATGCCAGGAGCTTTCTTGTTTTGTCTCAGTTTTATAATGTGTAATATCTCTAGGGGTAATTAGCTTCTCTGATATAATTATTAACTGTTTTATGTATATGCCTCGTCAAGTGTTTAGAACCTTGATGGATTGTCAGTTTATGTATTGATTCAAATGGTGCGCCCATGGCGTCTATCTTCTTCTTGTCTGAGACACTTCACAAATCTGATACATTTCCCTACAGTCCAGAGAGAATTATTGTTGGCTTTGACAGATTTAAGGTAAATCGACCAGCTTGTTTCTCCACCCGCATACTAGCTTGTGAACTATGTTTGACATATTGTTTTTAGTTGACCAATCCTATGTTTCTGATACAGGCAATGTACTTTATTTTTAAAATTAATGAATTTTCTGACTCCTACTGGAAACTCTCCCATTGGGTGGATGGGTACTTTTTGTGGTATACTCAAGTGTGGCTGCGTGTACTAAGGTGTTCGTCAAATTTAAGGTTTCAGATTCAAGTGAATCAGTAGAACACAATGTTGGGGGAATGTGAAGTTTTTTGTTAAGTACATTACGAAATTTTTATCCAGTCGGCTTTGTAATAGCAAAACCTAGGTTTCTTAGGGGTGGTTTTACACTGGAAGGATAGTTTTAGAATAACAGGGTTGTGGTCAGAGCTTAGGAGGGAGAGGCTGTAGGCAATCGTGTATCCCTGTACGTTTTTTGTTATGTACATATCTAAGACACTGCGAGTTCTAGGTGATGGTGGGAAGTAGGAAGGGGCATCGGTAGTAGCTAAAGTAACATTATTTACTAAGAAAAAGTCAAATAAGTTATTGCCCTCCAAATTGTTGCAAGCACAATTCCTTGTGATGTGCTTTGTGTTAAAATCCCCTAGCAGTATTACTGATGAATAATAAGTAATACGATGACAGTGTATTTAAGAGCACCAAGAGTTCTGATAATATTAGATTTTTTGAGGGAGCTTGTAACAACTTATTATGTGCATTAGGTGCATTTTTAATTTGACACATTTTTTATTACAGTTATAAGCTTTGGAACGTTATACATGTTCTTCATTTCCTTCGTCTTCCTTGGATATTTTGATGTTGATTGTTGGGTCAAGATGGTGTGTTGGTCACAGGCTGGGTTGACTGATGACAGGATGATAGGGGGATCTTGTTCAGGATGCAACTGAAATCTGCTGGTTTGCTCTATTCAGGTTTCTCCTCTCAGTGGTCTTGGCTTGGATGTATTTGTAGAAACAGCATGCAGTGTCTGAGCTCGGTGATTTTCGCCGCATTGGCGCATTTTGGACATATGTTCTTGGCCTCATCAGGGCAGTCCTTTGTTTCATGACCCTTCACACATATTGAGCATTAAGACCCTTTTTATGTTTAATCCTCAAGTTTCTTATACTACCCACTATTTTTAGAAACCTTAAAGTCACTATTTAGAACTTTAAACACTTTTCTTTCAAAAAGTTTTTTTATAATAAATTATTGTTTGTTGTTTTGCGAATTTTCATAAACATCATGGCCACAGATTCACCAGTTTGTTCACTTTAGGAATTGAACGTTTTTGGAAGGTATAAGCTTGCCCGAACACTTACCAGTCCAGAAAGGATAAGGTCCCTTTTTGCCCTAGAACTGTTTTGTGCCTAATGAATGAAAGCCTTTTGGCAGGAAAAAACGCATTTCCCTAACCATCGTCTCACCCTGTTTAATATATCACCATAACACCTCATATGAATTATTGATTAAAGGCTAACAGTAAATGAATAATAGATAAAAACAATCTACTACAATGGATATGTATGTATCATATGTAATCATGCTGAATGAGAGGACCATGGCAGCCAAATGGTTAGGGTGTCAGACTCATATCTGCCACCACGCTAGTGGTACTTGGCTCGAATCCCTGCACAACCCATGGCTTTCTAACATTCAATTGAGAATAGTATGAAAAACGTATTCTAGTCATTTTATTCCCTCTACTGCAACACCTAAGTGGATGTTAACCAACCTGTACGACAGGAATTACTTTCCTTTTTTACTTATTATGCCTTACTGAATAGCTGAGAGATAAAACTAGACTTCGGGTACAAAACCTACGATACACCACTGAGAAGATCCTTCAAGGAGTTCTATCACAAATTTAATGATCATTGGAAGTGGACAACCTCCTACATAAGATAAACCTCAACCAGACTCTGGCCGAAGCTTTAAAATTCCAAGAAATGGGTGTAAATAAAAAGTGACGACAATAGTGCCATTTACCTGGAAAAAACTAACTCCTACAACTCTAACCGTTGATGTTGATAACAAATAAAGCATTCCAAATAAGTTACACACATAGGATAGTTCTTGATCAAATATTAACATGAAATGCATACCTCAAGAGAACTGCTCACTAATGGCACATGGATATGCCATAGACTATGCAGTAGAACTCGGGAGCTAAATTATAAAATGACCTTATAGTTATTATTGGGTTGGGGCAAAATTAATGCAAGTTTTGAAAATGTTTTATTTTCGCTAGTGCTGGCCATCTAAACAAAGGGAAATCTAATTTTTGGATTATAATAATTACTTTGAAGTGTTATCTTTTATACAAAACATTTTAGTTTATATTGAATTCCATAAGAGTGTAGACCTGCGAAATTAAATATGCCCAAAGTATTTTCCGTCAAATTTATTTGTACGAATTTAAACTCTGGCGATGTGGGGCCTAAACAGCGCTAACATCAATACAGTTGGAGGGGGGAAGCATTAGCGATGATTTCAGAGATTTCGTTTTGAAGAATTCGATCTCGAAAATCGTTTTAAAATTTGCACGTCTTTCCTGTTGTGCCACAAAAATGATCCATTTCAAGATCAAATCATCACGAGCGATGTGAAATGGATTCTGTACGATCATAGGAGGCGTACACGTCACTGGTTGGATAAGGATGAATTGCTAAAACACTTCCCGAAATCTACACCCAAAAAAGGTTATGGTGACTGTTTAGTCGTGTACTGCTGTAGTTGTTTACTATAATTTTTTGAATTATGGTGAAACCATCACAGCAGAGAAAT